AAAAATAAAGCAACTGTGATGTAATGATTTTTCTGTAATGATTGTAATTCTGTAATTTTCCTGTAAAAAGCCCCCGGCCCTGACAGTATTCCATCTGTGATAGCTAAGACTGTGATCCAAACCAATATACCACTTTTTGAGAAGAATGGGAAAAAACTAAGCTTACCTTAATCGAAAAGCCAAAGAAATCCCCAGACGATCCAATAAAACACCGCCCAATATGTTTAATTAATGAATTTGGTAAAGTTTATGCAAGGCTTATAAACCAACGACTGCTGACAGAGATCCAGGAAAAAAAGAACGGATTTCATCAAACCATGCCATCGAAGCCATCCAGGATTTAGTTGAGTTGTATAAAGGAACGCATTGTGAAATGATCCTTCTAGACGTTAAAAACGCGTTTAATACGGCATCTTGGCCAGTGATTATGGAGCAACTAGAAAAGGCTGAAATAAGTGCATACCTTAGAAATATCCTACAGAGCTACATGACTAACAGAAGGATTGTACTAGCAAGAAATAGTGAAGAAGATATATTTGGAGGGGTCCTTCGTAACCTTGTGGAACGTCTTATATAATGATGTAATGAGGTAATATGTTACGCCGATGATCTGGCAGTTTCTGTCGCCTCGCAAACACCGAAAGGCATGATTGCAAGAGACAACTACGCTCTAAACCTTGCTTCGAAATGGATGGAAAAACATGATCTTCAAATTGCCCGAAAAAACAGCGGCAATATTGCTCAGTTACAAGAGGGAGGTTGAAGACATACGTTTTTTGGTCCAGGATCAGGAGGTAAAACCCCAAAAGTCTGTCAAGTATCTGGGTTTTCAGCTGGATCGAAGGCTTAACATGACAAGACATATCAAAGAAGCCTGTCTAAAAGCAGAGAAATCAATTAAATCTCCAAAATGCCTTCTGGTGGCTGGTGCTGGCTATGGTCTGCAAGAGCATAGTTCTCTATGGAGCGCCTGCATGGCCTTCAAAGGCTTTTCTAAGAATAAATAAAACACGCCTAATTACGACCCAAAGAAATATTGCTCTGAGAGTGTGTTCAGCGTATTGCACGGTTTCTGGCCGGTCAGCAAATGTCGTTGCGGGACTCATACCGTTGCACCTTTTGGCGGAAGAAAGGAAAAGGATTTGACCTGGCCGGGAGCTCAAACAGAGTTGTCCAACTCTCTTGGGCAACTGGTACGAACAGGAACAAAGGAAACGAGATTGCTGCGGAACTTGCTAAGGCAGGGACCGAGACACCACTGACCAACCAAGAACCTGCTTGCGGTATATCTTATGCTGAAGTTAGGGTGGCAGTTGGGCAGTGGATCTTGGAACAACACAGAAAGTACTGGGAGGGGACACCACAACCAGCAAGTAAAAACAAACTCAGCAGGCAAAAAATAAGAAGGATAGTGGCCTTTTTAACAGGACACGCCCCCTGCAAAAAACACCTCTTCAGGATGGAACTCAGCGATTAACCGACCTGCAGGGGTTGCGAATTAGAGGACGAAACTACTCTGCATGTTATGTGTCACTGCACGTCATATGCAACTG